CAGTTAAAAGGTGGTTGTTCAATAAATTTGAGATGAAAGATCTTGGAGAAGCAAGCTATATTCTTGGGATCAAGCTTATGCGAGATCGGGTTAAAAAGAAAATAGGCTTGTCTCAAGAGTCTTACATTGACAAAGTTCTGATCAGGTTTGGAATGGAAAACTCTAAGAAAGGGTTTTTGCCATTTAGACATGGGTTGGCTCTTTCTAATGACCAGTCTCCCAAGACTGATAAGGAAATTGAGCAAATGAGGCGGATACCATACGCTTCGGCAGTTGGTAGTCTCATGTATGCCATGGTCTGTACCAGACCGGACATCTGCTACTCAGTAGGGATTGTCAGTAGATATCAGTCCAATCCTGGACTTGATCATTGGTCAGCTGTGAAGAATATCTTAAAATACCTTAGAAGAACTAAGAATCTAATGCTCATTTATGGAGGTGATGATCTGGTTCCAGTCGGATATACGGATTCTGATTTTCAATCAGATCCAGATGCCAGGAGATCTACATCTGGATATGTGTTTAAGTTCAATGGAGGGGCAGTTAGTTGGAAGAGTGTCAAGCAGGGTTGTACTGCTGACTCAACCATGGAAGCAGAATACATTGCAGCCTCTGAGGCAGCAAAAGAAGCTGTTTGGTTGAGAAACTTTCTAATTGAACTGGAGGTTGTGGAGCATATAGATCGGCCTATGACGCTTCATTGTGATAATAGTGCAGCTATAGCCCAAACCAAGGACCCAAAATTTCATAAAGGAACAAGACACATTCAGAGGAAACATCATGTGGTCCGTGATATAGTAAAGCGAGGAGATATACTTGTGGCCAAGATTGCATCGGAACATAACCTTGCTGATCCATTCACAAAGGCTTTACCGATCAAGATGTTTGATCGTCATATGGAGAACATGGGAGTTAGATGTGATTTGAATTGGCTATAAGTGCAAGTGGGAGCTGTTAGGATATGTGTGCCCTAGCATAGCAAATTCTAATTTTGGATTGTAGAAGTCATGGTTTCTTGTCTGGATATTATTATTAAAGCATTATACAATTGGTGAATAGAATGTATTAGTTTTCGATTCTTTATGGAATTGATGGTGTCCGCTTGATTACAAAATATATTTATATATGTATGTAATGGCAATTAATACTATGATATAAATTAGTAATCATAAATGGTTTAAAGTCGGTAATTATGGATGGACATTTAATTAGTTAAGACTTAAACCGAGTCCACGATAGATTGAAATATATTGCGAGAGCTGTCGTATGCAATTGCTCTCTATCACAGTCATGGTTTTTGACTCTCAAGCATGAGAGAAGTATAGACTCTTTTATTAATTAATAATTACTTTGATTTGCTCGGCGGATACCTCGGGATCCTTAGATCGACACTTTGGGTAGTTATGTAATTAATAATTAGAGGTCTATATTCTCAATATTTGCATCAGTGCTATTTGTATTTATTTTGTTTTGATTATGGTTGATCACAAATTAAATTCGAAGGCCTTCGTATGTTTTAGACAAATGTTTTATATATATATTTATTTAATAAATTATTATTATTTTTTTGTCAAATAAATATTTTATTGTGATCGAGCCGGAAATAATCAAAGGTAACAAAATAATTATATTAATTATGTTGTCGGATTGATGGCTTTAATTATCCGATAAATAATTAAGCATAGAGGGGTCAAAGTGCAACATTGACTTAGAGGTTATTTACTATTTAATTGGAGTGCAATTAATTTCTTTTAGTGGAGTAGAAATTAATTTATGAATTAATTGAATTGGGTTCATGGTTTAATGGACCGGACCAATTATTAATTTATAAGAGCCAAGAAAATAGTAAGCCCAAAAGGATTCTCACCAATAGCCCAAGTTGATATTGGAGTCATGTTAGAATTGAGAAAGTTGAATTAGAGATGGAGAATGATTTATTGTTTCCTTATTCTTATTTTATTTTGCCTATATATACATGAGTTCATGTATATTTTAGGTGTGACTTGGAGAACAAGAAAAAGGAATACACTTTCTCTCTCTAGATTTTAGGGTTTTGTTTCTCTTCTAAAGGAGGCTACCACCAGCCTAGATTCCAAGGTCATTCATCAAGGCATATTGGTGATTCCCAAAGGGAAGATAATAATCAAAAAGAAGGAGAAAGGATCTTGCTAAAGGAATCTACAATAAGTGAGAACATTCACTTTAGAGGAAAGTTCAAAAGGTTTACTCAGACCTTTGATGTGAGTATTCAATCTGTTTATTGAATTATGCATCATCTTTTATTTATCTTTGCATAAAACTTGTCTCCATGTAATGAATCAAGATCTATGATTGCAAATCCCTCAAAAAGTTTTAAAAATTTGCACGTTTCCCAACACCGCCATGGTCGGCGAAAACAGCAAATTGGAGGAAAACGGATATGGTGCGGAACTGAGATGGCAAGCACGCGAACGGTAATGGCGATGACGGCATCGAACACTACAATTGAGCCATCGAAACCCATGGCGGCGACGGAACAATTTATTCAAACATTCTCTCTCTCTATATATATCCTCTCATACACACACATATGTACACACATATGGGTCTCTCCTTCAAAGACTTCAACTTTGCTATTAGTCTGGGTGGTTGTTGAAGATAAGTTACAGAGAGAGTGAGTAGAGAGAGTGGTAATTGGTGGTGGCCGGCGGCACTGGTGGTGGTGAGAGGGAGGGAGAAGAGGTATATATATACATTCTATATTCATATGGGTGGCCGAGCGGAAAAAAAACAACAATATGATGTACATGTAGAGTATATAACGTCCCGTACATTTTAAAAAGTCACTGACATTTAATTTCGGAGCAACTAGTATAATATATATATAGAGTGTATAACAATTTATGTATTATAAAAAGTACCTAACATTTAATTTAGGAGTAAGCAACGATCTCAATACTTAAAAGACTAAAGTGTTCCTTTATAATATAATTAAAAAATAAATAAAAAACTAATTAAATGTAAAATGACTAAACTATCCCTCTTTTCTTTGGAGTTTTTTCTTCATCATCGTTACTACCGGTAATGGAACAACGACGATGACAACTTGATATGTCCGGCGTCGATTTAGTGTGTGTCTATATATATATATATATATATATATATAAGGGTAATATATATAAAGGCATTATTAGAAGAGATATGAACATTTTTAGAAGAGATGTGTTATTTGCCCAAAATGTAAACATTGGGGGTGTTTTCCCACTTTACCCTATTCATATATATATTTAGAAATTTTTAGTCTTTTTATTTAATTCTTTAGATTATAGAGCTCTTTTGAAAAAGTCTAAAGGGTGTTTAAATCATTTTACAATATCTGATACTTGTGCAAGTGACGATTGGGGTAGGAGTGAAAGACTAACAGGTCGATTTTGTCAGAAAATGCAGATTATGACAATAAATCCAGCTTACTAATTGTAAAACAACAAACATTTGCACTATGAATGATAGTTTTTCTGAAAGTTATTTCAGTATGATATTTGGCGAAACCTTAGGAGGTGTAGTGAAATTAACCCTTTCTTTTCACTTTTTTTGTTAAATTTTAATTTATTATATATTAATGAGCAAAGTATAGAAAACCCCCCTCGACTTGTAATATTTTCATCCTCTAATTTTTTTACTAAAGAACCCCCCCCCAACTTGTAACCCTTTCCAATAAATCTTTCTTATCTAATTTTTTACCAAAGAGATCCCCCTCAACTATCTAAGGAGGTAAAAGAGTTGATATTTGAATCAAAATACCCTTTTATTTAAATCTTAATTTTCTTGAACTTCAGAAATTCATATCTCATAAACCGTGCATCAAAATATTGCAAATAATATATGCACAGAAAGTTTATACAATAAGAATTCCAGAAATATAAGATTTATTTATCAAAACTTCATAACTAGAAAGAAATAGACAATCTAAAAATCTACTGCAACAATCTTATTTTATTTTATTTTTTATAAAATACTCGGTTTATTTGCATGAAAATTTTCAGAATTATTCATTTTCATATAAAGCATAACATATAAAAAAATTAGCCCCAATAGAGACCGAATATTCATTTCTATTTTTTAAAAAATGGGGAGTCTATAAAAGAAGAGTAATGATACTTGCACCGATTTGTTGCAGTGAATTATCTAACCGAATGCTGCTGATTAGTTATTTATACACAATACATGTAAGTGGAGAGTCCACTTCTTTATTTATATATAAATGGATCAATTAAAAGAAGATTGGCATGTAAGGTACTCTCACTAGGCATCATTTTGTTTGAACTGGGCAACTAGATTTAGGAGGGATGGTCTTATAGGACTGTTGCTGTAATGAGTAATGACTGAGTTTTCTTAATCCCTAATTTCAATGAATCTGTTACTTAATAAGGTTTTTCTATTGAGCGTTTAAATTTCAAACCAATAAACGTCTTAGTAGCGGTAACTATCCTCCCACATTTGATCATATTCTCTAAACATATCATACTTGAAATAAATATATGACGTTAAACATGTTGGGAATACTCAATGCGGCCATTCAGACTGCTGTCATACCTATTACTTAGACTGTCTGCCTTCATCTTTTATTTTTGTTATATTTTAAAATAAAATAACACACCTAAATCAGTTCTAATTAGGTATAAAAATATTTAAATAGATATTTTATAAATTGATTTCTTTTAATTAATTTTTTTTAGATTTCTACTTGAGTTAGGGGACTGCATTTATAATGCACAGGTAGGAATCTCCAAAATGGAAATAGACAAAAAAATAATAAAACTGTATGTTTCATTCAAAAAGCTCACTGCTATGCAGCTATGCTGCAATTCCAACATTTTAGGATGACTAAAAACAGCCATTAGGTTTAAGTCTTCTGGCGAAAACAACCTAGACATGCACATAATAAAGGCCACATACTGGTTTCATTGAACAAAATTAACAAGTGGTACAAGCAGTCCTCCAGCAAACATAGAGAGGGTAACACACAACTAAAAGGCGCAAAGAAAAAAGAATGCCGAATAGAATACAAAGTAATGCATGTAGCCAAAAAAGAAAAAAAGAAAGCAATTTAGAGGGCTAATGAAGAATCTGATAAGCCAACCAAGAAACCAGCTAACAAAAGCAATACAGAGAAACTACAAGGTCTGCACCAGTAATACATATAAATGGGGCATCTGAAAGCCATAAACATTCATTCTAGTAGAATTAACCTTATGCCACCATAAAACATGACAAAAGCAAAGCATAACCAGGCTAGCATATGTGTAGGCAGAAGTTTCTAGGATCATCAGGAAGAATCCAGTTCTGTTTAGTACGTCTATTTACTTACTGAGCTTTCAGTAACCCCTTCCGAGCTTGAATGCCTAAATCTGATAAGAGTCTTCAATTACTCTGTTAACAATCCGAGTTTCTCTTGTAGTTTTAGAAAATAACCTATAATTTGATAAACAGTAGATGAAAGAGCCAGTATGCAAAGAGAAGATGGGATCATGGAACAGTAAATCAGCTAGCAAAGATGTGAAGTGTGATATTTGGTTGAAGGAAGTTAAAGACAAAAAATTGTTGGAAATATTATCTGCAACCTTGGCTGTCATGGGCAAAATCCAGAATCATCATCATCGCCTTAATCCCATATGAGCGGAGTCAGCCACATGAATTTTCTCTCTCCAACCTTTTTTATTATATGCCATTTATGTTCTAACTTTTTAAAGTCATTTTTAACAACCCCATCCCAGGGTAAACCAGAATCATAAATGATCCTACAACTGGTCCAAATTGCAACCAATTATCAAAGAAAAGAGATGCATTCCTGAGAATAAATTGGTCCATATTGCAACCAATTATCAAACCAATAAAATGTATTCTGACCATTACCCACTGTATGTTTTATACATAACCTAAATGGCTCTGTTAGCTACAACAACTTCCTCCAAAACCATGAGCAATTAGGAGGAATTTTAACATCCCATAGGCTCCTATCTTTAAGAATAATATGATGGACCCATTGCACCCAAAAGGAAGAAGAAGCTGACAGATTTATTCCAAAGAGACATTCTTAAGGCCTAAGCCACCCTCTTGAATATCACAAACAACTGAACTCCATGCCAATCTAGATAAAGGCAACGAACTTAAGTTCATATAGCATAACTTGCTACAGAAGAATCCTTTTGCATGCTAAAAATGAGACATTGTTGTCTTGCATGACGTCTCATGACATCATGTAACAGGTAGTAACAAGTAACGTTTGCTCCAATGATGAAAATAACATGATGAGACCCTGAATACAAACAGTCAGAACAGATAAGTAAATTCAGATGTGTATAAACTATAGAGAGTAATGCAGCCGGATATCATTAAGGAACAAAAAGGCTAAACCTTGTTCTTTGTCAAGGTTGGTAAAAATAGTTTTATTGCTTGTGTAATGAATGCAAATAAAACTCTCACTGGATTATGCAAGTAAATTGGTCAGGAATAACGAGTTTGATGCAGATGGATCTCTTGGAGGAGGAGAGATCTAGCTCTGTTGATTGCGGCAAAGCAGAGGCATATGTGTTCCTCAAGATCAATGAGCTGGCGGAGGAAATTCTCATGGTTCTTGTGGAGTTGCTTCACCACTTCCTGAATGGGCTGTCTGTCCCTGCCCCTCTCCAATCCAAGGCGAATGAGAAGCTTGTCACCCTCAACAGCTGTATACAAACGGACCACAAGGCGATCAATGGTGTCGAGGTCATTGTGCAGGACATAAGTACCCTTTGCTGCAGCTTCAAGCTGTGCCAGATGGGCCATCTCTTTCTTAGTTATCTTGCATGGAAGGAATGAACTAAAAAAGGGGCAAGCCACAAGGGTGACAAGTGCATGGGCAGCTATGACTGCAGCAGATATGGCAACACCTACGACAGTGCCAATGAGACAAATGGCGGAGCTAGTGGTGGCGTGGCGAAGGAGACGAACCCTGGAGCGTGACTTACTGAGACGGTGGTCGAGTTGTTGCTTAAGCTGGGAGAAACAACAGCGCATGTCATTGAAGTTGAAGGAGTCAGAGCAAGAGAAGGGGTTGTCAAGGCGGTCGAATTGGAGGAAAATGTCAAAGGCACAGTCGCACTGGGACTGGGTGAGGGTGTAGGAGTCAGAGTCTAGGGGAAGGACATTGAGGAGATTGTGGAGAGGAGCATAGAGGGACCGAGCATGGCGGACACTGTCATAGAGGAGGAGGCACAGATGGGAAGTGTGTTCACTATGATCAAAATAGGCAGAGACAAGGCGGGTAAGGGTGTTGGGCCGAATAGACTGAAGTGACTCTTGGACACAATCTCGGTTTGGCTGCAGGACCTGTGCCAACAGCTGGTGTCCTTCATTGCACTCTTCTTGTCCTGGATCTGGGTCATGGTAACAAGCGTTGCTCTGATGAATCTTATCCCGTATCTCGCTGTAGGAACTGGTCTGTACAGCAAGGGTGTATTCTCGAGTGAGGTTGATGGTGGGAGAAGGCTGTGTGCTCGACCTCGGTGTTTCCTCAGCCGAATTTCCTGCAGTTCATTCACACAATTGAGTAACAATTTGTCTACCTCTGATGAATGCCAGTGTGGAAGGCTAGTTACAGAGTTTACCTTGTGGGGATGATGAGGAGGGATGTTGATTTGTTGTCGCTGTCAACGATGATGGCCTCAGACAACGCATCATTTGACGGTGCCCTTCTAGCCGGGTGACCACTGAGTTCAGGCGCTGGCATTCAGAAGTCCAGTGAAAGCACAACAAATCTGAGGAATCTAAAAAACACAAGGTCAAGCTTTGAGTCCTCATCTTTTATAATGAATGCACAATAACATGGAAGACAATATAGTTATGTAGGAAGACAGAATGGTGGAGGTCAAGATAAATTAGGCTATGAATATGATGGCAGGTATAGATTCACCTCCTCAAGCGGTTAGAACTGAAAATCAGGAAATTGAAACTTCTGAATGAACAGAAAATTCTTAGGGGTTTCAGAACAAACCACATATAACCACACGTCAGTTTCTATAAGATTAGCATCAATAGTGTATCTAATCTGAACAAAAACATCTACATTATCCCAGATTTGGATGCTCAAGTGGAATTTGGGATGCAGTTAGTAATTCATGATCTGGCATGGGTGTCATAAAACTAACAATTCATGATCTGGCATGGGTGTCATAAAACTAACAATTTTTTCCTCCTTTCAAGATAAAGGTTTAATATAGAGATCATCATTCTGCTTCGAGCGTTCAAGTCGCATTACAATCTAGACCTATCAAATAAAAGAAAAAAAGGAGAAACAATGCCCTCGGAAAAAAGAAAAAGAAAGACAATGAACTGGAAAAACAACCACCCAAAATCTAGTTTACGGAGAACTTTCAAACTAGAAAAAACACAAATTGCACATAAGTTGAGAGGATTACCCCCAATTAGTTTCAATAATCAATTTAGTAAGTAAGGAAGACAGCTTGCACATATTTATTTATCTCTCAGTTAAGCAATGAATTTCTAAAGTATCTATGAAGAACACAGTGTATCCACATCATTTCAAAACAAATTTAAAACTGATCTCCTCCATCACCTCAAGCAAATGATAAATCAAACATGTGATTACTCCTTCTACCACACATCAATCAATAATTCTGGAACGTTTCACCAAAATAACGATTCTCCCCAAATATCAGAAAAATCCCAAATGAATTGATGCATATCCCTCTAATATACGTAGATGTAGACACACGAATTAAATTTGCCAGAATTGAAAGTAAAAATGGAATGGAGAAAAATTCATAGAGAACCCCAAAAAAATCCTTCAATTTGTGAAACTAACTATATATATGTTTGTAAGCACTAGCAAGTTTGTACCTAGTTCAACAGTGAATAAATGTATTCTGACAACAAAAAATTGAAGTTGAGTGGGCACTGATTGAAGCAACCGGGTATATGTGTGTGTATATATGTATGTCAATCTCGGAGAAGGTCCCTGAGGCGGTTCTTGACGAAGTCGTTTCGGGCTTTGGTGCGAGCTTGTTGAGGGGCTGCGTTGGCGAAAGAGAGGTGCGCTCCAACGGCGAAGAGGACGACGCCGGTGACGAAACAGACGCCGGTCACGGCAAGTTGCTTGGGCGTTGGTGGGTACGACCACACCACCATCTTCTTCTTCAACCCGCTATTGTGTACATACACTAGCGTTAGGCGTGTGTGACTCGCTCTTCTTTGTTGCCCACTCGCCAACCAATTAGGGTTACTCGGAAATGGGCCCGATTCTCATGGGCTAAACCTAAAGGCCAAGGCCCACAACTAGCATGTTAAAACTTCGCTTCTTAACCGAGATTCCGGGTTTGATTTCATTAGGCTTTGCATTGAAATTTGATAATTGATAGGAAATTGAAGAATTGTAGATGGTTGGATAGTAATGATCTCGAAGAATTCCAAGATACTTGTTTAGAAGAATAAATAGAAATGACAAATTTCAAATGGTCACTGTAGATTAACCAGACAAGAGTGTATATATATATACATATATGTACATATATTAATGTGTATGCTTAATCTTAATTTTTTATTTCACCTTACTAGTAATTAGTTATTAATTTGTTTTTATTAACGTATTTGTAAATTACTTCACCTTAATTGTCCCACATCAGAACAGAAATACATTATAGAAGGATAGTCCAGCTGCCAGTTCTGTTCTTGTACGAAGCCAAAGTAGGTTGCAAGAACATGAGATAAAATTAAACCGATGCTTGGGTGGGATCCATCTCTCGGTCTCTATTTCTTTTATCAACAGCATATTTACCACAACAAAGAATATATCTTATATATATATATATGTGTGTGTAATTATCTCCTGCTCATCGATGAGCAAGAAATTCATCACCACCACGTGCATATATCCAAGTAGTGAGTTCAATAACAAATAACAATCATAACAATGAAAAATATAAGTTTAAAAACTATAATTAAAAAGATACACTTGCATAATTTTTCTGCAATTAATTACTGTCAACTTATTTTGTTCTCACAGATCTGCATGATCTTTTTTAACAACTTTCTTTCTCATATGGTTTCTATTTCACAAGTGATGAGAGATCCAAATTCTAGATATAAAAAACATGGCTATCTAAGAAAGAGATTGCCACAACAGCATGAAACGCAGCTCCAATGGACAGAGCATCCTCATCAATAACAAAGTAAGGCGAGTGCAATGGCTCATCCGATTTTAGAGTCTCATTCTTTGTCCCTACCACAAACATTGCAGCGGGGAACTTCTAAGAGTAGAAGCTGAAATCTTCAGAACCCATGGTCACTGGGAGTAGCTGCATATTACCTTCCCAAGTAAGATCTCCCCAACTCTCTTCCCGTGTTCGTACAGTGCCTCGTCATTAACCACTACCGGATGAGGCATTGGTTTGTCTTCCAACACAGCACTACATTGATGCACAGCTGCTTGCATCTCTATCACCTGCAAGAGGATTAATTTTTCCTAAGCTCTTTCATTTTGTCATAAATACCGAAATATATTAAGGTTAGAACACGATCGAGCATTTTACCTCTTTGATCCTTTCCTGTAAGTAGGAGAGACCTTGAGAGGTTAAGCTTCTGTAAGTTCCTGTAATTTCAACCGTATGTGGGATCACATTTCCGGCTTGGCCTCCATGTATGGACCCAACTGTGACTACCTGCACAATTTGTGTAGGATGAAATTTATTGCTCTCTTTTGCTTCAAGAAGATCGACACCATTGTCAAAAAAGTATATATAGGAATGCAATACTAGAACCAAATATCAAGAAAGATCAGGATATGGCAAATGTAATTACAAATATTTGGACAATGTATATGAATTTACTTGATCTGATTAATTAGAGCATATATATCCATGCATGCACCTGTGTCCATATACTTGCATGCATACAAGCAGTCAACACAATACTACTAATGATATATATGTGAAACAAATCTAATTATGAAAAATTAGCAACAAAGTGTTGATGACCTTTAGACTCAGTGAGGACCTGGATCCAATAAATATAATTCAGGTCTTGTTGAATCTGCTTTGATGGATAAAACTCATTTTGGTTGACACAGGACAAACCCTTAATCCCACTCCCGCCCCTCCTAAGTGCCATTCCAAGTAACTTTTATGATAGCACAACTTGCAACAGTAAATCAGCTAGAAAAGACGTAAAGTGTGATATTTGGTTGAAGGAAGCTAAAGACAAAAAATTGTTGGAAATATTATTGGCAAGTTGGCAACCTTGGCTGCCCTGGGCAAAAACCAGAATCATCATCATCATCATCCTTGCCTTAATCCCATATGAGTGGAGTTGGCCACATGAATTTTCTCTCTCCAATCTTTTTTATTATATGCCATTTCACCAATTATGTTTAACTTTTTAAGGTCATTTTTAACAACCCCATTCCAGGGCAAATCAGAATCATAAATGATCCTACAATTGGTCCAAATTGCAACCAATTATCAAACAAAAGAGACGCATTCCTGAGAATAAATTGGTCCATATTACAACCAATTATCAAACCAAAGAATGTATTCTGACCATTACCCACTGTATGTTTTATACATAACCTAAATGGCTCTGTTAGCTACAACAACTTCCTCCAAAACCATGAGCAATTAGGGGGAATTTTAACATCCCATAGGCTCCTATCTTTAAGAATGTTATGATGGACCCATTGCACCCATAAGGAAGAAGAAGCTGACAGATTTATTCCAAAGAGACATTCTTAAGGCCTAAGCCAATCTAGATAAAGGTAACGAACTTGAGTTCATATAGCATAACTTGCAACAGAAGAATTCTTTTGCATGCTAGAGATGAGACGTCGTTGTCTTGCATGATGTCTCATGACATCATGTAACAGGTAGTAACAAGTAATGTTTGCTCCAATGATGAAAATAACATGATGAGACCCTGAATACAAAGAGTCAGAAGAGATAAGTAAATTCAGATGTGTATAAACTATAGAGAGTAATGCAGCCGGATATCATTAAGGAACAAAAAGGCTAAACCATGTTCTTTGTCAGGGTTGGTAAAAATAGTTTTATCGCTTGTGTAATGAATGCAAATAAAACTCTCACTGGATTATGCAAGTAAATTGGTCAGGAATAACGAGTTTGATGCAGATGGATCCCTTGGAGGAGGAGAGATCTAGCTCTGTTGATTGCGGCAAAGCAGAGGCATATGTGTTCCTCAAGATCAATGAGCTGGCAGAGGAAATTCTCACGGTTCTTGTGGAGTTGCTTCACCACTACCAGAATGGGCTGTCTGTCCCTGCCCCTCTCCAATCCAAGGCGGCGAATGAGACGCTTGTCACCGTCAACAGCTGTATACAATCTGGCCACAAGGCGATCAATGGTGTCGAGGTGATTGTGCAGGACATAAGTACCTATTGCTGCAGCATCAAGCTGTGCCAGATGGGCCAGCTCTTTCTTAGTTATCTTGCATGGAAGGAATGAACTAAAAAAGGGGCAAGCCACAAGGGTGACAAGTGCATGGGCAGATATGACTGCAGCAGATATGGCAACACCTACGACAGTGCCAATGAGACAAATGGCGGAGCTAGTGGTGGCATGGCGAAGGAGCCGAACCCTGGAGCGTGACTTACTGAGACAGTGGTCAAGTTGTTGCTTAAGCTGGGAGAAACAACAGCGCATGTCATTGAAGTTGAAGGAGTCAGGGCAGGAGAAGGGGTTGTCAAGGCGGTCGAATTGGAGGAAAATGTCAAAGGCACAGTTGCACTGGGACTGGGTAAGGGTGTAGGAGTCAGAGTCTAGGGGAAGGACATTGAGGAGATTGTGGAGAGGAGTATAGAGGGACCGAGCATGGCGGACACTGTCATAAAGGAGGAGGCACAGATGGGAAGTGTGTTCACTATGATCAAAATAGGCAGAAACAAGGCGGGTAAGTGTGTTGGGCCGAATAGACTGAAGTGACTCTTGGACACAATCTCGGTTCGGCTGCAGGACCTGTGCCAACAGCTGGTGTCCTTCATTGCACTCTTCTTGTCCTGGATCTGGTTCATGGTAACAAGCGTTTCTCTGATGAATCTTATCCCGTATCTCGCTGTAGGAACTGGTCTGTACAGCAAGGGTGTATTCTCGAGTGAGGTCGATGGTGGAAGAAGGCTGCGTGCTCGACCTCGGTGTTTCCTCAGCTGAATTTCCTGTAGTTCATTCACACAATTGAGTAACAATTTGTTTACCTCTGATGAATGCCAGTGTGGAAGGCTAGTTACAGAGTTTACCTTGTGGGGATGATGAGAAAGGATGTTGATTTGTTGTCACTGTCAACGATGATGGCCTCAGGCAACGCATCATTTGATGGTTCCCTTCTATCCGGGTGACCACTGAGTTCAGGAGTCCAGTCAAAGCACAACAAATCTGAGGAATCTAAAAAACACAAGGTCAAGCTTTGAGTCCTCATCTTTTATAATGAATGCACAATAACATGGTAGACAATATAGTTATGTAGGAAGACAAAATGGTGGAGGTCAAGATAAATTAGGCGATGAATATGATGGCAGGTATAGATTCACCTCCTCAAGCAGTTAGAACTGAAAATCAGGAAATTGAAACTTCTGAATGAACAGAAAATTCTTAGGGTTTTCAGAACAAACCACATATAACCACACGTCAGTTTCTATAAGATTAGCATCAATATTGTATCTAACCTGAACAAAAACATCTACATTAACCCAGATTAGGATGCTCAAGTGGAATTTGGGATGCAGTTACTAATTCATGATCTGGTATGTTCCTCTGGCTAATAAGAGTTTCAGTGGTCAAAATCAAATCCACCATGTGACCAAGACGTGATCGTATACAAGCTACTTGAAAAACCTAAATTATGGCATGTAAGGGTGTCATCAAACTAACAATTTTTTCTTTCTTTCAAGGAAAAGGTTTAATATAGAGATCATCAATCATCATTCAGCTTCGAGCATTCAAGTCGCATTACAATGAAGTCGCATTACAATCTAGACCTCTCAAATAAAAGAAAAAAGGAGAAACAATGCCCTCGAAAAAAAAAGAAAAAGAAAGACAAAATGAAACAGTGATTTATGAAGTCAGACATCAACTGGAAAAACCACCCCCCAAAATCTAGTTTACATAGAACTTTCAAACAAGAAAAAACACAAATTGCACATAAGTTGAGAGGATTACCCCCAATTAGTTTCAACAATCAATTTAGTAAGGAAGACAGCTTGCACATATTTATTTATCTCTCAGTTAAACAATGATTTTCTAAAGTATCTATGAAGAACACAGTGTCCCCACATCATTTCAAAACAAATTTAAAACTGATCTCCTCCATCACCTCAAGCAAATGATAAATCAAATATGTGATTACTCCCTCTACCTCACACCAATCAATAATTCTGGAACGTTTCACCAAAATAACGATTCTCCCTAAATATCAGAAAAATCCCAAATGAATTGATGCATATCCCTCTAATATACGTAGATGTAGACACACGTGTATGTTTTTAACAATATCAAAAATATTAGTCAATTAAATTTGCCAGAATTGATAGTAAAAATGGAACATTTCAGTATACCCTAATTCTATACATAGGGTATATATCAACAACAAATGAAATGGAGAAAAATTCATAGAAAACCTCAAAAAAAGCCTTCAATTTGTGAAACTAACTATATCTATGTTTGTAAATACTAGCAAGTTTGTACCTACTTGAACAGTGAATAAATGTATTCTGACAACAAAAAATTGGAGTTGAGTGGGCACTTATTGAAGCAACCGGGCATGTGTGTGTATAAATATGTATGTCAATTTCGGAGAAGGTCCCTGAGGCGGTTCTTGACGAAGTCGTTTCGGGCTTTGGTGCGAGCTTTTTGAGGGGCTGCGTTGGCGAAAGAGAGATGCGCTCCAACGGCGAAGAGGACGACGCCGGTGACGAAACAGACGCCGGTCACGGCAAGTTGCTTGGGCGTTGGTGGGTACGACCACACCACTATCTTCTCTTCAACCCGCTATGTCTACACACACTAGCGTTAGGCGTTGTTAGCGTGCGTGACTCGCTCTTCTCTGTTGCACACTCCCCAACTGATTAGGGTTAATCGGAAATGGGCCCGATTCTCATGGGCTAAACCTAAAGGCCAAGGCCCACAACTAGCATGTCAAAACTTCGCTTCTTAGCCGAGACTCGGGGTTTTATTTTTTGCATTGAAATTTGACAACCGATAGCAAATTGGAGAATTGTAGATGGTTGGATAGTAATGACCTCTAAGAATCCTAAGAGATTTGATTAGAAGAAGAAATAGAAATGACAAATTTCCAATTGTCACTATAGATTAACCAGAGTATATATATATACATATATGTAATTATATATTGATGTGTAATATGTAATTATATATTGATGTGTATGCTCAATCTTAATTTTTTATTTCACCTTACTAGTAATTAGTTATTAATTTGTTTTTATTAACGTATTTGTAAATTACTTCACCTTAATTGTCCCACATCAGAACAGAAATACACTATAGAAGGTTAGTCCAGCCGCCAGTTCTGTTCTTGTATGAAGCCAAAGTAGGCTGCGAGAAGATGAGATAAAATTAAACTGAGGCTTGGGTAGGATCCATCTATGGGTCTCTATTTCTTTTATCAGCTGTATATTTACCACAACAAAGAATATATATACATATGTGTGTGTGTGTGTGTGTGTAATTATCTCTTGATTCATCACCGCCATGTGCATATATCCAAGAAGTGAGTTCAATAACAAATAACAATCATAACAATGAAAAATGTAAGTTTAAAAACTGTAATTAAAAAGATACACTTGCATAATTTTTCTGCAATTAATTACTGTCAACTTATTTTGTTCTCACAGATCTGCTTGATTTTTTTTTACAACTCTCTCATATGGTTTCTATTTCCCAAGGATTGAGAGATCCAAATTCTAGATATAAAAAACATGGCTATCTAAGTAAGAGATTGCTACAGCAGCATGAAAAGCAGCTCCAATGGACAGAGCATCCTCATCAATAACAAAGTAAGGCGAGTGCAAAGGCTCATCCGATTTTAGAGTCTCATTCTTTGTCCCTACCACAAACATTGCAGCGGGAAACTTCTGTGAGTAGAAGCTGAAATCTTCAGATCCCATAGTCACTGGGAGTAACTGCATATTACCTTCCCCAAGTAAGATCTCCCCAACTCTCTTCCCGTGTTCATACAGTGCCTCATCATTAACCATCACCGGATGAGGCATTGGTATGTCTTCCTTGAAGTCCAACACGGCACTACATTGATGCACAGCTGCTTGCATCTCTATCACCTGCAAGAGGATTAATTTTTCCTAAGCTCTTTCATTTTGTCATAAATACCGAAATATATTAAGGTTAGAACACGATCGAGCATTTTACCTCTTTGATCCTTTCCTGTAAGTAGGAGAGACCTTGAGAGGTTAAGCTTCTGTAAGTTCCTGTAATTTCAACCGTATGTGGGATCACATTTCCAGCTTGGCCTCCGTGTATGGACCCAACCGTGACTACCTGCACAATTTGTGTAGGAAGAAATTTATTACTCTCTTTTGCTTCAAGAAGATCGACGCCATTGTCAAAAAAGTATATAGGAATGCAATACTAGAACCAAATATCAAGAAAGATCAGGATATGGCAAATGTAATTACAAATATTTGGACAATGTATATGAATTTACTTGATCTGATTAATTAGAGCATATTTATCCATGCATGCACCTGTGTCCATATACTTGCATGCATACAAGCAGTCAGACACAATACTACTAATGATATATATGTGAAACTAGTCTAATTATGAAAAATTAGCAACAAAGTGTTGATGATCTTTAGACTCAGTGAGGACCTGGATCCGATAAATATAATTCAGGTCTGGTTGAATCTGCTTTGATGGATAAAACTCATTTTGGTTAACAGAGGACAAACCCTTAATCCCACTCCCACCCCTCCTAAGTGCCATTCCAAGTCACTTTTATCATAGAGCTACAAGGTTTGATGTATCAAACTCAATCCAGCTTTGTTACAAATTTCTATTACAGCTGCAAATTCTAGTATTTTTTAATTGTATTTTTGAATTGCAGGGCTTCTGGGGATGCAGGTTATGCTTCTAACTTACTGTGTGGTGGCACTCAAATTAATTAATAGAATAGCACCATTAATTTAAGAGGAAAAAAGAAGAGAAAAGAAAAGAAAAGAAGAGAAAGAAACAGATTATTACTCCGGCCTCAAGAGGATCTGTCTCTCGTGATACTATCTGTTGGAGAGAAACGATGGCCAAGGAAGCAGCAAGAACTGGGTCTCTAGCTTTATGTGGAGTTGCAGCATGCCCACCTTTTCCTTGAATAATTGCGGAAAACATTCCGACACCTGCGAGCATTGGACCAGGCCTTGAAGCAACAGCGCCGGTGGAAATTATTGGGAGGACATGTAAACCAAAAATGGCTTGGATGTTATCAAGAGCACCATGTTGTAACATATGGTAAGCCCCAGCATAGCCCTCTTCTCCAGGCTGGAAAACTAGCTTCACGGTCCCCTGTTGTAATTAATAATTTATTTATATGCAAAAACAACTGATCAGTAGGATTTAATTAATTAATTAGCAAACACAAGTAGTAATTAGTATTGAATGGATAGTAGCTAGATTCATTGATTCCTTCCTTCTTAATGAATGTATGAGTGATAGTAAATAAAGTTGCATACCTTGAGTTTGTCTGTCCTGGCTTGGAGTAACTTAGCTGCTCCTAGCAGCATGGCAACATGAGAATCGTGACCACATGCATGCATTTTTCCATCAATCTTGCTCCGGTGCTCCCAATCAACCAGTTCCTGTTCCAGATAATAATAATAATAAAAATAATGTTGGTTTCATGGGATTACAAATTATAATAAGAAACTACAAATTCATATTGAATCAGAGGAACTCGATCTTAATTACTGTCTTCACTAAAAGCCCATAAATCAAAAGTACAACTCAATTAAGTTTGCTGAATCTTTAGGCACTCTAATTAACCACATGGCAGCATATCAACACGGTTCATGTAAGCTAAGCAATATGAGAAAACATAATTATAAAAATAAATAAGATTGTTTAGGAAGCAATATGAGAAAAGATCCATGACCCTAGAGTTACGTTTATGTTAGCTTAAAAATAAAGCTAATTAATGATCTAATCTACTTTTGCACACAACTAACTAGGTATTGAACTATTTTGGGGATCTAATTTGCACATTTGCCTAAGAATGAAAACAAAGGACATGCATCAAACCCAATTAATAATGTCTAGAGAGTCTCAAATTGCTAGGTACAAACTCCACGTTCGTATCGCTAAAGAAAGATTATTAGTTTCATGATTTTGCACTGTTTTCATTATTAATTCAATTTCTCACCCACCTGATCAAAATTGTTGCCTGCCATGCATTTATAAGACAAACACACAAATTAAGAGAAATATAGTGTATATTTATATATTTGAGAGAGAGAAAGGGGTACAGTAAGTAATTAACCTGCAAAGGGAGGGCATCCATGTCAGCTCTGAGAGCGAAGAATGGTTGGGCACCCGAGCCAACAGAGGCAACAACACCAGTTTTGGCGACAGGCCATGTGTAGTGGATGCCGAGCGAGTCGAGCTCAGACCTGATGAGTTGACTCGTTCTGTGTTCCTCAAATCCTAACTCTGGGTATTCATGGATTCTCCTTCGGAGCCCTCTAACCCAACTGAAGAAATCGGGCTCTCTAGCTGATTCCAATAGTTCCCGACCCAGTCGCCCAATTTCAGATTCCGAATAAGTCGACTCAGCTACTGTATCCAACGATGAAAAACTGGAAATCAGCAACAAACAGACCATGAAGAACCTCATCATCATCATTGGATCCATCGTGAGTTTACACTAAGTTATCAATTTGATTGATAGAGGTCTTCTTGTAATTATTTGAATGAAAACCCTTATCAAATATACTGTAATAGCATTGGAGAAGAAAGAGGAAGAAGATACAGAAAAATGGAGTACTACCTCACTCAGCTTCAGCTATTTATATAAACTAAATAGCGGGACCCACATCACAAAGCACCTGACTCACCCATGTGTGTGTATATATATATATAAATTTAAAAATATTAAATATTTTAAATGTTATAATATTGTTAGTATGTTACTGACCGTTTCTTATATATATATATATAAATTTAAAAATATTAAATATTTTAAGTGTTATAATATTGTTAGTATGTTACTGACCGTTTCTTATATACTACAACTTGGGCATATTATGGATTTTTTTATAAATGAGATCCATACATAGTTCTCGGTGCCATAAAATATTTTATTTTCATCTCAACTAAAATACCAAACTACTCTCAATAATATACAGTGATATGTATACATTTTTGGAGCCCGTGTCTCACCCCTTCTCTCTCTCCACTCGCTGTCATATATACAACCTTCAAACTTTGTTTGGATTAAGGGATTTAGAGTAATTTGGAAATAAAAGGATAGTGTATAATGTGTTTGAAAGAGAGGAATTTGATAGAAAATAAATGATTAGAAAGGATATTTCTTCAAATTCCTAAACTTGAATCCTCTTAAATTTGACAAGATTTGAAAGGAAATGATACCAAATAAAATTTTCATTAAAACAAAATTAGCCTTCAAAATTCAATATACAAAATGAGTTGATAAATCCGAAACAGAAGAAGACGGTCCATGTATTTGAAACAGAGGAAGAAGGTTCATAGTATTTGATGCATCGAGGTGAGCTGATGAATCTGCCCCGGTAGATTCACCGTTGACTCAGGACGGCTGATGAATCTGCTTCCGACGTTTCTGATCTCCAAACCCCTGTCCATGGACTTGCCTCACGATCACCAATTTTACGCCCCCAATTAACAAGCAATAAAATGATTTTTGCATCTTAGACACTTGAGCCCTAATGCAAAGAAACAACATTGCCTTATGCTCCAAATTTGATTATTATTTTTTTCTTTCTCCAAACAAGAATATTATCTATTTATGACTATCCCTTTCCCTTTCTCTCCTTTCTCTCTCGTAGCTAATGTTAACCCTTAGGAGCCACGATGCCACTTCAGTATCCTTGGCCTCACCGCCGGCAGTGTCGAGCTCGAAGAAGAACCTGTCGTTGTCGGTTGAGGACTTCATGGCGGAGGCAGAGTCATAGAAGGGAACCACCGGGAAGCGCTCGTGGCGGTGGGCAAGAGGGTTGGCAAAGTGTATGTCACAGTCTCACGTGACGCACAGGGTGGCGGCGGCGTCCTTGCAGGTGACGCTCGCCGGAGCCTGCTGAAAGACCTCACACATTCCATGCGCGCGTGACGCGACGAGAACTTGTTGGCCGCGCATGGACCTTGGAGTCCCACCTCTCACACAAAAACGCCGAGTGGGCTCGGCAGAACAGAGTCGCTGACATGGTGGTGAAACTCCGACGAGAAGAAGAAGGACGATTTCTGTTCAATTTGGTGAAAATTGCAGAGATGGAGAGAGGAGAAGATGGGTCGTGTTTATTTGGGGATGATATGGCTATGGTTGTGTGCGAGTACCTGTGTACACATATTTAGAGACAATCAATTGAAATATAACTGTAGTTTTCTTCTATAATTGTATGATTTCATTTGAGCAACAAGTAAAAATTTATTGAAGCACTGATGATGACTAGTTTGTAAAATTCAACAGTCAACAACAAGGGAATCTACGTACATCATCCATTCATTTAGATGAGTTTAATTTTGTTAATTTTTTTTTGGGAGAGGATGAAACTTAACCATTTTTTGTAATAAAAATCTGTCATTCCATGTCTTAATTTCAATGAAGTTATAAAAATAATTAAATACATTTTTTTATATTGCAATTGGGTAGAAAATTTCAAGTACATGGTTGGTCACATCCAATCGAATTTGCGTGTTTATCTTAATCAACACGATCTTCAGTGTCTAGTAGTCTAAGACGTTCCAAATGGTCCGTCCAAATCCCACATCGAGCATGGTATTGGAAGGACAATGGGGCCATATAAGTGGTTTAATTTGTGATTCTAAGAGAGAGATTAGACTAGAGAGTGAAAGAAGCTACATCTGGAGTACAGGTGTAAGGTTGCCACGAAAATGTTAGCAAATTTAAGCAAAAACCACCCACAAAAATAGTAAAAGAAAAACCTTTTACGTTTGTTATCCAACCACCGTCCACTCCCCTTTTGATTTTACATCCATATTATGACCATTTCTTTTTTCTTTTTTTGTTTGGGTTAAAACATAATAGTAATAATAATTTGACAATGCAACTACTTGAAAAAGACTTGATGGTTGATAACATTCACAACTAATTTCTTTTATAGCTTTATGTGTGTGTGTTGTTAAGTTCCTTCAGGATTCCTTTTTTTTTTTTTATGTCTCTGAACAATTTATCTCCAAGGAGAAATACTCACTTCAGAAGATCACCGAGAAGTCATCCATCACACAAACAACAAATATGATTGAAAATTGAAATGGTTCTCATTAACCTACACAGTGACTGTGCGTTGAATATGGGAGGTTGAAACCAATAATATTCCCTGGTCACAGAGAGCTAACCACTAAATCTCTTGCCGAATTGGCGGATATGGAAGCATATATAGATTTAAAAAGACAAGCCACCACTTTAATGTGCATCATAATCACAATCCAACAATATATATAATTCATTCGGCCGTGCATCACATTTTTATCATGGTTGTTGAGATGCCGATGCTCCGTATCTGTGTCTCTGTCACTGATAATGGGCAACCCAATCCACACTACAATTACTGACTAACATGATTCCGTTAGATAATCGCTAGCCTCTTGAATGGACATGTCCAACACTTAACATGGAAAGGAGGATGACACTCTAAATTATTAATATATAGGGGCTATGATCGAATATTTCAGATTAAACTTGGGTCATTGTTTAGTGAATAAGAAATCTATAACCATCCTCAAATAAATTTCTCTTCCATGCTTTAGACCAATGTCCAGCGGGATACTAACTGCATTAAATTGAACTACAAGTCAATAAGGTAGGCACACATCGAATATTTCAATAAATAAAAAATAAAAAATACGAGTGAATGATCAAGACAATTGTTAGACAGCATAGCTAGTGGAAATTGAAGATCAACGAGCCATTAACATTGACAAAAGACAGGAACATTTGACACTACAAATCTTAACAAAAGTAAGACACAAATACAATAACACCATGACACCAGCTGCCATATATTTTAAAACACACAACTAAAGTAAACATGAAAATTTTACTTTATGATAAATTAATGTAATTCTTTTTATGACTGTGATATGGAATTTGTAACTGATTAATTTCCAGTGTTCAATAATCACCCATGTACTATAAAATATACATATAGTAAAGACATGACACATACGCATATAAATGTCTGTACAATTCTATACATGTATATGCATACAATTATACATACAAAACATAATTTGGTGATTCTTCTCCTTGTTTCATGCCATCATTTTCTATAATATATATATTTTAAAAATAAAAAATAAAGAAGTTAAAACTTTTCAATATGTTTTGCATAGTGCTTTAATTTGGTTTTTGGTCGTGATTATACTTTTTTCCTTTCTTATAAGAAAGTCATGCCCAAGAAGTGTCAATCCTGTGTCAAGAATTCAGATATTTCATTTTAGTATGATGGACAGGTGCAAACCGTGCCAGAAAGCACTGAGAAGACTGCAAGGGGAGTTAGTGTCCCAAAGATGTCCGACACAGACACGAGCCACATGATTCCTTATTCAAAGTATCTGTGCCTCCTAAGTCACATGATGATGAATCTGACAAATGTTGCTCATGTATCAAATTTATGTGCATGTTTTTTGACAGGTGTCTAAAGTGTTCAAGAAGCACTACAAACAGTTCTCCACTTCTCCTCTCTATGCAAACGTATGTGCTTAGTCAAAGGGGTGCACTGTTCCCTCTAGGCAATGTTCTGTACATGTAAAATTCATCAATCCCAAAAGAACAAGACAGCTAGAAGTTAAGTATACTTCCTGGGCTTTTCAAATGGACAGGAAATCAGTATGATAATATGTTGGGAGATTAGAGGAAAGGGACTTCAGGAAATAGTGGGAAATTAAAAAAGACCAGAGAAGGTTTGAAGAGTCACACCCTCTTCTGCTTTAACAATGCATGCAATAAAAATTTGTATGATTACAAAAGATTTATAAACTAGTGATCAATGAGTGTGATCCAAATCTGGGTTTTAGAAAGAAAAAAAAAAAAAAAAAAATGATTTGGAATTGTTAATAGGGAACTCTTAAGTGTGTGTATGTCTGTACCTGCTTGTATTGAAGTGCTCTAAATTTAGTGCCAGGGTATAAGTTGATTAACTTGTATAAATGTTTGTAATAGTTATTCTATCCTATCAAGATTTTCCATTTCAAAAGTCAAGAAATCTAAAGTTCTTGAGTTTGAAAAGAGTCTTTTTCTCTCCATTGCATTTCTCTATAAATGATTTTCCATTGCAAATCTCAAAAGTGTTATGGTTTTCATTTCCAGGAGCAGACATACCAGTTATTGAAGAGTCTCGACGTAATGGTCTTCCAAGTAAGAGATGGCAACTGCAGCATGGAAAGCTGCTCCAATGGGAAGAACCTCCTCATCAATGACAAAATGTGGCGAGTGTAGCCGTTTATCTGATTTTAGGGTTTCATTCTTTATCCCAATCAAGAAAAATGCAGCTGCCATCTTTTGTGAATAGAAACTGAAATCCTCAGCTGCCATAGTCATTGGAACATTGTGCACATTCGTTGTCCCAAGTAAGACTTCTCCAATACTCTTTGCATGTTCATACATTGCTTTATCATTAACAGTAGCTGGATAAGGTCTCACCTTTCCCTCCATAAAGTCTACCAGAGCAGTACACCTACACACAGTTGCCTGTGTCTCTATGACCTGTTGCTAAAAATATGTTATCATCTAAGATGAAATATGAAATTCTAAAAGCTTAGAAAATGAATATCTAGTATTTATTCAAAAGAAACTTCTAGGAAATACAATTGCTTGGGGGTGCAGCCTTCTAAATCCCGATCACTTAATATATTTATACATATCAAGAAAAGCAAAAAATCACTTACAGCAACTGTAATGATTTTAACATCTTCTTTCAAGCAATGAACTAATTGCTTTATGGTTTTCAATATGCAAATCAACAGGAGGCCCAAATCCGAACTTGTCTAAAATCTAAATATAAAGCCGAAATCAGGCAACCTGGTTTCTAGTAATTTAGGTTGTTCAGTTTGGTTTTGAGTCGCCAAATTTGATAGCCAGTTATAACATTATAAACAATGTTGATAACTTTTCAGAACATATATCCAAAAGTTTGATTGTCTATTGCATATCATTGAATATGATTATTAACTATAGCCTCCAAAAGCTTGATGTATAGACTTGTCAAAGAAATGTTTTGAGAATAGTTCATTTTCCTTAAATACACCCTTAAAAATACCTCTTTTATCCTTTGTCGAAGGTTGGGTAGTCCTTCAGATGTCATACTCCGATAACTGCCTCCAAACCTAACAGACACTGGAATTACATTTCCTGTTTGACCACCATCAATAAAACTGACTGTGACCACCTGCATATAGTTGGGAAATGGGAAAAAAAAAAAAAAAAGGATCCTTATTAGATCTGTACTTCCGTTAATGGTCCTGAACATATATATATGATGTAGTAGAAGATGAGAATAAACTGTCATGGACCATAGTTAAGGTTTCAGGTACAACTAAATTAATGTGCACCCACCCATCCTTCAGTAGATGGCTGGTAAAAGTTAAAACAGATACCAAGCGTGCCATGAAACTCACAGTTGGTAAAGAATATAAGATAATTACCTTGGCCTCAAGAGGATCTGTCTCTCGTGAAACAATCTGTTGTAGTGCAAGGATTGCCAAGGATGTAGCAAGAACCGGGTCTCTAGTTTCATGGGGTTCTGCTGCATGTTCACCTATTCCTTGAATTATGGCTAGAAACCTGCCTGAGCCAGCAAGCAGTGGACCAGGTCTTGACCCCACTGTACCAGTGGGCAATTCTGGCCAAACATGGAGCCCAAAAATAGCTTGCTGTGTATCAAGAGCACCTTCTTTTAACATATGGTAAGCGCCAGCATAGCCCTCTTCCCCAGGTTGGAAGACAAGCTTCACAGTGCCCTTCAGATTAAAAATTTGGACAATAGTTCAGTTTAGACACACCAACATAGGTGCAGCCACATACAAATGCACACAAGAACCCTCTAGGACAAAAACCTAATTTTGAAATCCTCATCTTTGGTCTTTGATGAATTTGAGATTGTAAATTTACCTTAAAATCATCCCTTTTGTGCTGAAGTAACTTAGCAGCTCCTAGAAGCATAGTTACATGAGCATCATGGCCGCACGCATGCATTTTACCATTGATCTTGCTCTTGTGCTCCCACTCCACCATTTCCTTTGAAATAACAATGTCGGTTTAAAAAGACCAGACTTCATCAATAAAGGTAATTATTTCTAAATTACAAAAGTTACCATTAGAAGCTAAATAAGCAAAAGCAAGAAAAAAAAGAGAAGGCTCATAACTGCTGTAGTTAATTACATCTTTTTATTCAGTCACTATTAGCTTCGCACAAGAGTTTACAAGATATTGTTATATCTCAATTCTTATACATAGCTCTCTGCAAATGAATTGTCCAAACAAATGCGAAGTATCTGCAATGTCAAGGTCTCACAACTATCCAACTCTAGAAATTACAAAAAATTAAGGCAAGCATGGGGGCATTTGATATGCTTCTCACCAACTCTCCCTCTAATATGCAAGTATACATTACATGGACTGATGGACTCTTCCAAAAATGCATGAAGGAATGGATAAGTGACACCAGGTGGTAGAAAACAGTGGCAGCAGCCTTTTAAAGTATATAAAAGGCATGGCAAGGAGGGTTCTAAGGCTCAAACCTTAATTTGGCACATGCTAGACGATGGGGGGTCCACTTGGAGTCTTTCATAATTAGGGGGTTTCGTCAAATTGCATAATTTTGGTAATTGCATCAATTATGGTGAAATTGCATTGTTTTAGTAAATTGCATCAAGTTATTTGTTACTTTGTTATGCTAGAGTCAACTTTTGATTACCTCCATTGTAGGGTAATCCAAGGGTCATCAGTTATTATAAAAAAGATACTATGTAATTCTGATTTCTCAGTGAATAAATGAATAATCCATTGAGATTTCTTTGTGAGTGATTCACAAGTTCTGAAGGTGTGAGGCCTTCTCTAGGTGTGATACCTAGGCCCTGTTGGAGTGATTCCAATAGGTTTATTTTGTTATTTCAATCATTCTGCTCTACTAACGACTCTTGAACAATAGCTCTGTTTATCTGAATTTCCAGCCCACAACTCTTGGCTGCTTTCTTGTATTTGAGTCTGTTCTTGTCCTACATCAGTTTTTGGTATCAGAGCCTTCATCAGTTTTTCAGTTTTTGGTATCAGGAAATGAAAGATCGGGTAGTAATCAGCGAGATGAGCTGCTTGTGGAGCAGCTTAATGGGTTGAATGTTCGATTCAAGGAGTTAGAAGCTCGAATGTGTCAACCTATTAACAATTTTTCTTCTGGTGAACAAGTAACTGCATCCAGTACAAATGATGGCAGTGGTCGAGAATAACAACATCCTTTAAACGTGCAGCAAAGGCAGAATGTGAGGGCTGATCCACCACCACACCCAATGTTCGAGTTTCCGAGAAATCTCCCGGGAGTGAATTATCATGAGCCACGTGATAACGCTGGGGATATCACAAAGAAAATTAAAATGGAGGTGCCAGATTTTGAAGGTAAGGCTGATCCTACTGTATTTTCGGATTGGCTTGCTTCGATTGAAGAATATTTTGATTGGTGTGATATAAGTGATGATCGTAGAGTGAGATTTGCTAGAATGAAGCTTGTGGGCCTAGCAAAAATATGGTGGACTGGTGTTGAAGGGGATATTAGGAGGCTGGGACAACCACCAAACAGCAAATGGCAAGAAATGAAGGCAAAGCTTCGAGAGAAATACATGCCAGCCAATTACCATGATAAGCTAATGTAGGACAGCTTTCTCATATTTAGTAATTTTTATTATTTAGATTTCTTATTTATTTTATTTTTACATTTTTTTATAGGAAGATTAGTTTTATTTAATTTCTTTGACGAATTATTTTCCTTTTGTTAGTAGGTTTCTTTTATGTTTTTAGTTTCCTTCTAGTGTTGAGTTTTCTTTTATTATAAATACGTGTACTACCGAGTGCAGAATTAACTTTTATTCAATCAATTATCAATACAATTATCAGATTTCTCTGAATTTATCTCTTATTTTGTGGATTCAAGACACCCTACTTTGTGGATTCAAAGTAACCCGTTCCTTGTGAACAAATTTATCGCTTCTGCTTACATCACAAGCTGTGTGATCAACTTATCAATCTAAAGCAGGGCAGCATGTCAGTCGCGGAATATATGCAAAGATTTGACGAGTTAAGTCAAGTTGTGGAAGACCCGCGACAAACACTTGCAAGATTCAATGATGGTCTAAGGTCTGATATCAGAAGGGAATTGCTTCGCCAGTCATTATATGGTGTTGAACATGCTTTTCAGGTTGCATTGGACATGGAGGAGTACTTGAGTTATCAAACGGCTCGAAGATCTGGATATCAAACCTGGGAGGCAGTACCCAAGAAGTCCAGTGACGGAAATCGCAGCACACAATCAGCAGCAGCACAGCCGAATGGTGGAAATGCCGGATCAAAACTGCCCTTTTCTAACATGGCTGATCCTAAAGGGAAGAGTATTGTGGCTAGCAAAGGTAGTGGAAGGGATAACAAGTGCTTCAAATGTGGAGAAACAGGTCACGTGACATACCAATGTCCAAAGAAAAATTTACACATTGGGATAATGCATGAAGAAGAGCCGGAAGAACAAAGGGGACAGGATAATGGGAACATGTTTGACTATGGGATCTAGAACCCTGATGATCTAAAAGAGGACGAAGATGTTCCATCAATCTCCGTTGTGAGGCACATCCTTGCAGCCCCTAAAGTTGAAGATAAAGATTGGCAATGCACATTTAATTTTCAAATGCTAGTTCGTTGTGGGAATCAAGCTCGAAAGGTCATTATTGATGGCAGAAGTTGCATAAATGTTGTGTCTGCAGCCACGGTTGAGCGCCTCAAGCTTTCAGTCCAACCACATCCACAACCATTCAAAGTGGCGTGGATAGATAGTACTTCTATTCCGGTAACTCAACGTTGTCTCGTTTCTTTCTCTTATGGAGATTATAATGATTTTGTTTGGTGTAATGTAATTCCCATGAAAGTGACACATATTCTCCTTGGGCGGCCTTGGATTTATGATCGAGATGTGTATCATTGTGGGAAGGAGAATACATACACTTTCTTGTTTAACAACAAACAAATTATTTTGAAGCCTATGTCTTCAGCGGAAATGGAGAAATATAAAGGTGGACAGGCTGTAGATGATGCGAAAAGCAAGAAAAAGTCCCGCCATCTTCTTTCAAAGAAGAGGTTTCAATTGAAAAGTAAAGAGACGGGTGTAATATATGTTGTTGTAGCAAGGGAAATCAAAGAAACTGCTGATGTTCGTGATTCTTCAATGCCATCAGAGGTCGTCAACTTGCTGTCAGATTTCTCATATTTGTCTCCCGAAGATCTCCCTAATGAACTCCCTCCTCTACGTAATATCCACCATGCGATCGACTTTGTACAGGGATCTCCATTGGCTAACCTTCCAGCTTATCGTTTGAATCCAAGCGAACATGCCGAGCTTCAGAGACAAGTTAATGAACTGTTGTCCAAAGGATTTATCCGTGAAAGCTTAAGTCCTTGTGTTGTCCCAGCTTTGCTCACACCAAAGAAGGATCGTAGTTGGCGCATGTGTGTTCACAGTCGCGCCATCAACAAGATTACAATCAAGTATTGGTTTCTTATTTCTTGAACCGATGATTTGCTAGACATGGTGGCTGGTTCTTGTACATTTTCAAAAATAGATCTGAAAAGTGGCTACCATCAAATTCGCATAAGGCCCGGGGATGAATGGAAGACAGCTTTCAAGACAAAAGATGGACTTTACGAGTGGCTTGTTATGCCATTTGGTCTTTCCAATGCCCCTAGTACATTCATGCACTTCATGACTCAGGTATTGCAACCCTTTATTGATCAATTTCTGGTTGTTTACTTAGATGATATTTTAATCTACAACAAAACGAGGGAGGAACATATTTCCCACCTTCAACAAGTTATGAGAGATCTCCGCCAAGAGAAGCTTTACATGAACTTGAAGAAGTGTTCCTTCATGTTGCTGAGTGTGGTGTTTTTAGGCTTTGTTGTTTCTTCCAAAGGGGTAGAAGCTGATCCTGATATAGTGAAAGTGATTCTAGATTGACTAATTCCCAGCACATTGCAGAAAGCACAGAGTTTTCTCGGGCTAGCTTCATTCTATCGGAGATTTATTAGAAATTTCAGCACAATAATGGCCCCAATCACCAATTGTATGAAGAACAGCCAATTTGTTTGGACAATGGCAGCAACACAGGCTTTTGAAGAAGTGAAGAAAAGAATGACTGCAGCTCATGTTTTGCGCCTTCCAGACTTCTCAAAAGGTTTTGAAGTTGCATGTGGTCACTGGTTGGAATTGGAGGCGTGCTCAGTCAAGAAGGACATCCAGTTGCATATTTTAGTGAGAAACTTAATGAAGCAAAGCAAATGTATTCCACTTATGACACAGAATTTTACGCTGTGATTCAAGCACTTTGCTATTGGCGTCATTACCTTCTTTTAAGGAGTTCGTGTTGTATTCTAACCACGAGGCCCTCAAATATATTAACTCCCAAAAGAAGTTAAGCCACCGACATGGAAAGTGGGTTTCATTCTTGCAAGAGTACTCATTTGTCATCAAACATAAAGCTGGTGTTGAGAATAAGGCAGCCGATGCACTTAGCCGAGTTGTTCATATTCTTGCCTCCATGGCTGTCCAAGTTATTGGTTTCGATATGCTTAAACGAGACTACTTATCTTGCATGGACTTAGCATCGTACATGCTAATTTGATAGCTAGACAGTAGGGTACATATCCTGATTATTCGGTGCATGATGGTTATCTATTCAAAAGAACTCGACTTTGTTTGCCTAAGACGATACTTCGTGAACATGTGATATGGGAGTTGCATGCTGGTGGGGCAGCAGGTCATTTTGGAAGAGATAAGACCATTGCCATGGTCAAAGATCTTTTTTTTTTGCCAAGTTTGAAATGGGATGTGGCCAAAATTGTTGCTCGTTGCAGAACTTGTCAAATATCCAAACGAAGAAAGAAAAATACAAGTTTATATACGCCGCTCCAAGTCCCTTATGAGCCGTGGCAAGATTTAAGCATGGACTTTGTTATTGGGTTGCCTAAAATAAGTCAAAGTCATG